ATATTATTTAAACAAAAGAAATTAAAGTTTTATTAGACAAGAAAGCACACTTTATATTCACAATAGTTTTTTCAGACCATAACCGTGTATGTTTAAATATGGTATTATACCTTTTATTAGCTTTTAAATATGTACTGTATCTTTTATTAGCCTTTTCAGGCACAGGCTTCCAACCAAACGAACTATCTCGTAACTTGCTTGACCAGGCAGATTTCATTAATTTTCCAGGCAACTTTCAGGCAACACTTTTTGCCAGGCAAATACTCCAGGCTTCCATCGAAACAGGCCCATAATGCGGGGAGGAAGGCCGAGGCGACACCACTGTGGGACATCACCACGTACTCTCAACAGGTTGCAACCACGCCACCACCCTAGGCTTAGCCAGGCACGTAAATTTCAATTCTGTAATATGTAGGGGTTAAATTGAATGGATGATCTACTACTATGAAGTTGTGTTCTAAAAGATTATTTTAGTATAAAATTTAAAAATATTATATAATTATGTGTGCTATTTTTTCTTATCTTGTCAATATTAGTGTGGCATTATGTCCTCCAGGCTCCACATAAATCCTGGCTCCGCCATAAGAGAGAACGTAGGCAGCGCTACCCACTATAAAACCTGGCCAGTTCTCGTGGGAATCTCATCGAGCTAAGAACCTTTTCTTCCGTCTTTGCCTTCTATGGCCAGCGGCGGTGCTAAAGGTACCAGACCATTATATTTGATTATATTTAAAAATTGTATTGCATGTATCTACCTTTTTTTTTCTTAATTCTCAAGTCATTCCAGTTAGAGACCAGGGTGGCCCCTTCAAGCGTTTCGAGAAAGGTTGTTCAAGGCAGAATAAAGAAGACCCCGTTGCGCAGCCGCGTCGTGGGGGTCTCCCGTTGTTGCGCCCGCACCGTGAGTCACTGAACGCGGTGTGGGCGATGCACCGCCGGGAATGTCGGACTGCTTCTTTCGGATTCCTAAGGGCACTTCCAACCCAGACTCTACGATAAAGTCTATTCTTATTTATTATGGTGCCACATCAGCATTTTGATGACGTGGAAGGCAATTTAATGAAGAAAGAGAAGGAAATCGAGTCTTATTTGGACGTTGGGTCTTCGATGCTCCCGAGGCCGCAAGAAACCACCATGCCTCGCATTGTGGAGGGCAGCGTAGAGTCGATGGATCCCGTACGCCATCCATGCATCGCCGCCGCAACTCCTCCCTCTCCCGCGCTCCTCCTCCTACGCGCGTGCGCTCGCTCGAGCCCGCCATCGATCTCCCGCGTTTTCTCGACCTCCCGCGCGCGCTCTCGCCTTGGCCGCCATCTCCCGCGCGCTGCCGCACACTAGGCGAGATGCCGCCGCCGCCGCCAAATTTCTCCAGCTGCGCGCGCTTCTTCCGCACCTGCACCCGCCCCCTCCCGTCCTCCCGCCAAATCTTCCTTCCTCTCCCGCGCACCGCCCCGACCTCTCCCGCACGAGAGCCTGAAACGCACGCGCAGCTCCGTGTCCTCACGCGCCGGCTGCAGATAAGGATCCCTAGGTCCAAATCGAGATACGCCCCCAAGTCGACCTAGCCTCCCCAACTGAGCTCCTCCCCCAACAGTAACCCAAATCTCTGAATCAGGGATGAATCGATTAACAAAGTCTAGTTCGCGGCGAGGCAGTGGCGTCCCTAGAACCCGTTCTCGTGGTCCTGTGGCCGTTGCTCCGGCCGCCGGTGCTTCTGCATCTCGGATTCTTCCCGCTGGTGCCTCTGTTCCTGTCAGTCATGCTTCTTCAATCAATGCTTCTCCCGTTGGTGGATGGTGGCCAACGTCATCTCCTAGCGAAGGGTAAGTCGTCGGAGCTGTGGTTCTATGGATTACAGATTGTTCATCTACAGCTTCTTTGTTAATTAATTTCTTGGTTAATTAGGCTGATACATGTAGTGCAAAGTGCCTTGTAGATGGAATTTGCTTGTACTGCTAGTGTTCCCGTATATGACAGTAGTATATGGAAATTGATTAACTAAGGTATCATGGTTGTGTGCTTGTAGATGGAATTTTGTGTTAGCTTGTACTGCTATTGTTAGTGCTGTACTGCTAGTGCTCCTGCCTAATGGAAATAATATTCCAGAAATTTGTTGTTTGCAGGTTATACCCACTAGGAGGGTTCTCAAATTTTCTGCAGTCAAACCCATTTGCTAACCATCCAAATGGAAATGAAAATTTTCACTTTGTTGGTGGTGGATTGAGTCAATCTTTAGTTTCACCAATTGTCATGAGTGTTACAAGAACTCTCTCTCCAGCACAGCAAACTGTTGACATAGTGGATGATATAGATGCAGAAGAAGATGAAACAATTAACATTGATGAGACTTCTAGAACAGCCAACTGTTTGAATTGGTCGGACAGTGAAGACATACGACTGGTAGGTTGAAAGCATGCTATCTCCATGCACACTTGAAGATTAACTATTGTCTTTTTTTTCATTCTGTTCTTTTTGTTGTTTAGGCCAGTGCTTGGTTGCGTAATTCAAAGGATCCAGTAGATGGAAATGACAAGAAGTCAGATGCTTATTGGACAGATGTTACTAAAGAATACAACAAGACCACAGAAAATAGTCGTAAGAGGAACCGGAACCAACTGAAAATACGTTGGGATCGTTCGAAGAAACCATTGATTGATTTTCATGGATGTTGGATAAATGCCAGTAGAGTGTGGGAAAGTGGGATGAGTGATGACCAGTTGACTAACAAAGCACTAGAGATGTGGTCCGGCCAAAATAATGGTAAGGCCTTCCATCTGCTGCATATGTGGAAGGTAGTACGTGGATAGCAGAAGTGGTCAGCATATCTTGCTAGGTTGAAGAAGGAAAAGGAAAAGAATGCAAAGGCTGGTCCAGCTCAAATGGTGGATTTGGAATTAGATGGAGAAAAGCGACCTATAGGACATAAGAAAGCAAAAAAAATGTTCGTATGCATGGAAGGGACAGTATACCCTTGGTGATCAAGGTGTGCCAACAATCATTCTAGAGGTTGTTGCTTCACATGACAGATGGATATGGCATGCTTTCTTTGGAGTGGTGGGGTCCAACAATGACATTAATGTGCTGAATCAATCTACTTTGTTCGTCGATCAGTTAAGAGGAGAAGCTCCCCAGGTGCAGTACTTTGTGAATAGAAGGCAATATAGCAAACCTTATTATCTTGCAGATGGAATATACCCAGAGTGGGCTGCTTTTGTCAAGTCCATACGTGCACCACAATCAGCTGAGCACAAGCTGTTTTCAGAACATCAAGAGGGGGCAAGAAAAGATGTTAAATGTGCATTTGGGATTTTACAATCTCGTTTTTGCATTTTGCGTCGGCCAGCACGTCTATATGAACAAGGGGATCTTGAGAATATCATGTTAGCTTGTATAATTCTTCACAACATGATAATCGAGGACGAGAAGGATATAGAGGACGATTCGTTTGACTTGAACGAGGAAACAACCACGTCTACTGTTCAGCCGTCTACAATCACTCAAGGGCATGATTCGGCGATGGAGGAGGTACTACAGAGAGATACCAAGATTCATGACTATGAAGCTCATAGACAACTACAATCTGATTTGATTGATCACATCTGGCAAAAGTTCAGGAATCGAACTAATTAGGTAGAAATATTAATTTATATATTATATACTACCCTGTTACATGAATACTTTCGTATAACTATGTCACAATAGTTCTGTCCATCTCTCTTTTTCTTATAACGCAGTTGTTTATTTACTATCTCATCTTATTTTACATGTTGATGATCAAGGCATAAAAGTGTTGATGGCTTCTATCTGGAGGATGGTGTGGATTGTTTTCTGTAGGCAGGAAGACTTCTGAAGCCACAGCTGGAGATTATCTAAATACTATTATCTAATTATTTTGGTTTTCCTATCTATATTTCTATTCTTATTGTAATGGACGTCAGTCTCAGTCATCAGTCTCAGTCATGGTGCATGCTATATTTCTATCCTTATTGCTATTGTAATGGATGACTCGTGGCTAGCTTATCTAAACTTTCATTGAAGTTCTGTGTAGAGTATCTTTGCCGGCTAACTGATATATTGTATGCGTTGGGTTCATTCACATATTGCTTCTGATGATATATATCATGTATGTGGATGGTGATACTGTTGAGAGGTGTAGGGTGGATCACACAGTTTATGCCACAGCTGATCACCTTTCTTTATGTTGAGTAATAAATATTTTTATCTATTTACTATTACAAATTCTAGAGTCTTGGACGTTAAGACTCTATGGGTAGAGTCTGGATTGGGAGTGCCCTGACCACTGCACCAATGCTCTGCTCCGTTGCAACAGCCTCCGGTCGCACCAGTGACAGGGCGATCCGCCTGTTCGGACGAAGCGTTGGACTCCATTGGTATTGCGGCGAAGGATCGAATGCGTGCGAGCAGAGGATCATGGGAACATGTGAGGCAGCGGCAATGTGCATCATGGAGAGGCACAAAGCTACATACAAGAGAATAAAATAGTGGGTTACTTTTATTACGGGTGGTATTTTAGCCTGCATTAGTTAGGGGGTCTTATTTATCTACGTTAGCGATTCTATAGGGAAAAAAAAGTGGAGAGAAATTTTACCTCTTTAATACAGTATTAGATATAGATATAGATAAAGATAAGCATAGAGAAGATAGGTCAAAAACGTGTTTTTTATATATTTCGTGTGTCGTTCTTTGCATGCAACGTCAAAAGAACTTAGTCCTCAGTAAAAAAAAAAAAAAAAAAAAAAAAGAACGTAGCCCTCAACAAGCGTGCATCAAGCCTCCGGCGTCCGGCGCCGCAAAGCGCGCCAACCCTACCTACCTGGGTGGTATTTTTCATTGGTGGGTAGGATACGTGGACAATGTGACACCACGTTGCCTCCCGGAGTCCATTATAAAAGACTGGCCTGGGCTCAAGTCGGCATCCGCTGAAGTCATAATCATCATATCATACTTACTATAAACAGAACTCACAAGTACAACTCACAATGGCATACCCTACTGTCGTGCTCATCCCATTATGCGTTCCAGGCCACCTCACATCCATGCTCGAAGCCGGCAAGCGGCTGCTCGGCAGAAGCCGCTGCCCCATGTCGCTCACCGTGCTCGTCACGCAGATGACCATGTCCGCCAACATGATGTCCGACGTCGCCGACATCATCCGGCGGGAAGCAGACTCCGGCTTCGACATCCGCTTCGTCCACCTCCCCACCGTGGAGCTCCCCACCGCTGAGCACGGCGGTCTCGAGGATTTCATGGTGCGCTTCATACAGCTCCACGGGACATACGTCAAGGAAGCCGTCTCCGGCATGTCGTCCCCGGTAGCCGCGGTGGTGATGGACTACTTCTGCACCACCCTGTTCGATGTCACGCGCGAGCTCGCACTGCCGGTGTACGTCTACTTGACGTCCGGCGCGTCGATGCTCGCGCTCCTGCTGCGGTTGCCGGCGCTGGATGAGGAGATCTCCGGAGATTTTGAGGCGATGGAAGGAGCAGTTGATCTTCCCGGGATGCCGCCGGTGCCGGCTCGTCTCATGCCAACTCCCATAATGACGAAAGGTCCAAACTTCGCGTGGCTCGTGTACCACGGCAACCGCTTCATGGAGGCCGCTGGCATCATCGTCAACACGGTGGCCGAGCTGGAGCCGTCCATCCTTGCAGCCATCGCCGATGGTCTCTGCGTGCCCGGACGCCGCGCTCCGACCGTCTACCCGATCGGCCCCGTCGTGCCTGTCAAGCCGCCCGGCGACGGCGAGCAGCCACCGCTACACGAGTGCGTGAGGTGGCTCGACGCACAGCCACCAGCATCCGTCGTGCTGCTCTGCTTTGGGAGCATGGGCGGTAGCTTCCCCTCGCCTCAGGTCCGGGAGATCGCCGACGCCCTCGAGCACAGCGGGCACCGCTTCCTGTGGGTACTCCGTGGCCCGATACCCGCCGACTCCAAGTACCCAACGGATGCCAACCTCGACGAGCTGCTCCCAGAAGGGTTCTTGGAGAGGACGAAGGACAGGGGTCTCGTGTGGCCCAAGTGGGCGCCGCAGAAGGACATCCTCGCCAACCCTGCCGTCGGCGGCTTTGTGACCCACTGCGGGTGGAACTCGATCCTTGAGAGCCTTTGGCACGGCGTGCCGCTGGTGCCGTGGCCGCTGTACGCGGAGCAGCACCTGAACGCGTTCGAGCTCGTGTCCGTGATGGGCGTCGCCGTGGCCATGCAAGTGGACAGGAAGCGCGACAACTTCGTCAAGGCAGCGGAGCTGGAGCGCGTGATCCGGAGCCTGATTGGCGGGTCGTCGGAGGAGGGGAGGAAGGCGCGAGAGAAGGCCACGGAGGCGAAGGACCTATGCCGGAAAGCCGTGGCCGACGGCGGGTCCTCGGAAGTGTCGCTGCAACAACTAGCGCGTGAGATTGGAGAGCACAGAGAATACCAAGGAAGAACGGAAGCAACACCGCTTCCTCAACATGTTCACTACCCCGCTGCCACCCTTGGCGCTGCCAGCCATGGGTGACCTCCGATCCTGAATGATGATGCAGGCCATGCGGCTAGACTGTCACCAGGTTTGAACATGTCGTCAATCTGGCTAAGGTTAGTCATGAGTGGCTCCAAATAAAAGGGAAGTCGTAGGGTGGTTCTTTAGTAGGAGGCATTTGGCTGAGAGAGGTGTGTAACCGGCATTCAGTGTTCAAAATAAAACACTTACTGCCGAGTAGTGTCGCCGTTGTACTCATCCAGTCCAAGCTCCAAGGTCAATGAACCCAGGCTGCAACATGCTTGTTGTATCCATGTTTAACGATGAATGAGAACAATTGTATTGTGTTAAACTGGAATGTGAGAGGGCTAATGCAGTGAACCGTAGATAAGTAGTCTGTCAGAGACATGATCAGAGATCACAGAGTGACTCTATTGTGGTTGCAAGAGACCAAACTGGCTGTGATGAACGACAACAATATTTCAGAGACCCTGGGAACACAATTTGTTGGAGCGTATGCTGCACTACCAGCCACAAATACTAGGGGAGGGGGTGCTCATTGCTTGTTGACTTGATCACTTCCTCTTACAAGATGTACAAGTTGGACAAAGTTCAGTTACTGCGACAATTGGAAACAGACCTGATAACTCACAATGGAGCTTCACTGGTGTGTACGGACCCCAAGGTGATGCTGAGAAATTACAGTTCATCGGTGAAATTGGACATTTGCAGCAGCGGGTGTTACTTACCACAATGGCTCATCCTGGGGGGCTTTAACCAATGCTCTGCACCATTGCAACAGCCTCCGGTGGCACCCAGCGCCAGTCCGATCCGCCTGTTCGGACGACGCGCTGGACCTCCAGGACCAGGAGCGGATGACCACGGGAAAATCGGCCCGCACACGGCTGGAAACTGTTCTGGTTCAGTGGCCGCCGGTCCGTTTTCCATCACGTAGAGAACTTGTTCGCCATCACGCCGTGCGGGCGGGCCGGCTCCTGCGGGCGGCTGACACCTGTTGCCATCGATCTGCCTTCTGACGATGACGAATTGATGGTGCGTGCTCAACTGAGTTTTCAGCTGCTGCAAATTGCAACGCTGCATGAAGTACCTCTTGGGTTTGGGGCTTTTATCCTAGTCATGTGCGTGGTGCACCAGAACCGGCAAGTTTTTGAGAAAAAAATGATTTACCTTTTTTATTTGTCAGGGAGTTGGGACTAATCTGAAACCTGCTATAGATAAGCAGAGGTAGATCCGTAGATATTAAGGTTTACTCATCAGTTCAAAAATTCAGTTGTACCGATACTTTGATCAGACCAGCAATTTCAATTTCTTCCACTTGTCAACCAATAAATATGTATTGTTTCCGAGTGTCTTACTTTGAGCTGTTGCAACACCAGTGCACGCTGCTTAGTGCCTAACTTCTAGGTTTTTCCTTGTTCCCTAATCCCTTGTGAATTCAAGCGGCTTTGAAGTTGCGGCACCCAAATGCTGATGGACCATACAGGAATATGAGATCAGGACTTCAGACAACAGCATCACAAGAACTCGTTCAGAAAGCTTCCGAATTGGCTGCTTGGGATACAATCGGATGTACTTTCTTTTGTTCTGGTAGCTTGAGTGTTATGGCAAGTGGAGCCGGCCTAGGGTCTACGTGGTACTTTAGCGCGTGAACAGTACCGCATGAGCAGTAACAGATCCGATTAGATTAGATTGATTATGATTAGTTAGTAAAGGGATAAGATAGATTGATTCGGTTAGTATATTACTTAGGTGTCAAGTACGTTGTCATTGTAAAAGGGACCAATCATGTATCAGTTAGAGTAAGAAATCCTAAGATGGTCCTGACGAAGGGCGGTTATCTGGGGTCTCTCTCTGCTAATCCATCTATCCATAGCCTTTTTATAACATTGAGAAAACCAGTAACCCTCAGTAGGGTGTGTCCCTCTTGTTTTCCTCGAAAAAAAAAAGAAAACCCAGTAATCCGTCCTGGTTCTGATAGTATGTTTGATTCGTTCTGCTGAAGTGCTGATCGTAAGCAGTTTGAATTGGCCTTTGTTTCAGAACTATACATTGTTGAAATTGAAAGAACTATGTGCAAATAATGCTTGAACGATTTTGTACACTAACATTGGTTGTAGTTGCCACCTTAATCTGTTTAGTGATATCACGAATAGATATTACTGCCTACTGTTTACTATGCCTCCTTGCTCCTGACGCATCAGATATTACAGTAAATGTCTTCAGCTTTTAGACATGACCTGAAAATTACATCCTATTCCCCTGTTATGCTGCACTACTTAAAACAATACTTTTCAGCGAACAAAGAGTGCCTTCTGTTTTATATGTTTGGAAACTGGCTTTCATTTTGGGCATTAGGCAAATCAAGCCATTGTTTTCTGATATATTTTTAGCAAATAAATGAACTTCAACTCACCATACATGCACTTGTACATATTCATTCTACTGCTTGCACTTGCACTGCGTAGTACGTACAACACTTGAGCAACAGCAGAGAGATGCTCAACCTCTCGCTCTTTCTTTATTAATTGAACGTGCTTCTTATATGATCCTCACCACAGAATACATTTATATTTATCTACCTCTTCCTTGGCTTCAACAGGAATCGTTAGTAGTTTATTTCACTTTTCATTCGGAGTGGGGATCACCTTGTCAGATTCTGAGAAGGCGACCACCACGGAGAATTTCAGGGGGTAGCCAAACAGATCAGAGCCTGGAGACCTTGAGCTGCTGCTTGAGCAAGGGGCGGAGGTACTCATGGTACCCCTCAGGCACCACCGTCTCATTCAAAGGGTCCTTCCATGCCTCCTCGTACAGGGCCGGGTACACATTCCCGTCATACCGCCCCAGCACCGACCCCAGGTAGTGGTCTGTGTAGTTGAACGCATCCACCAGCGCAACAGCATTTGGACGCACCTGTCGCAGATCATGTCCAGCACCAACTTACACTTCATATCATACAGCAATACTGCTACTAGAAGACAAACAAACACCAGCAATCCAGCATACCTGTGCGTAAAGCTTGCCAAGCTGCTCATTTGCCAACGCTCCCTGCTTGGTGTGATGCACCCAGTTGCCAGGAAGTCGCCCAGGTGCTTGTGAAGAATGTAGAGGCATAAACATTGCAAAGGTTCTGGAGTTGTTCCTTCACTCCATGTCCAGGAATGTCCTGCTGTACCTTTGCAATGAACCTAGCAGTATAACACAAGAAGAACAACGGACGAATCATCTTTATTTAAAAAAAAAGAGAGAGACTGGAAGGTAAGGAACAGCGCGCGCTTCATAAACAACGTTGAATTAATACTCACTTGGTTACAATGATTAACTGGATGTGAGCTACTGCAGCCTCTAGCAAATCTGGGGACCGCTCATAGAAACCTGCAAGGCATGCGATCATCATTAGTACAGTAATTCCAATTTAGCAACTACAATTTGGAAAACGAAAACAGAATGTGGTATTGGCTGGTTATAAATACTACCTTCTTCTTGGCTTGCTGCTTGGCCTATGTTCTGGGCACAGTTTACTGCCATCCTGAGAGCCCTGGCTTCAAATGCCTCTTGTATGGCAACAGGGTTAAGCCAGTCTTCGGCTGTTGAGTCACCAAACATGAATAATTACCATCATCAATACAGGCATTATCCTCAAGAGGCCTGGAACAAATATCAAATATAACTGAGAACGAGATAATATAATGAGCCAGCCTACATAAGTACCTGTGTTAACAGCACATTTGCATTGCATCAGATATTGTACATTGCCCATGTAAGCCATTGTACCAACAGGTTGTTTTCCAGATGCCAATTGGGATACAGTCTTCATTAGAATCCTTGCAACCTGCAGGTACCCCCAAATGTTGCCTATCACTATACCATTGTCCAAAATGGAGTAGAGGAAAAGCAAAAACAGCTTGTCTTTTTCTTTAACTAATGTGGAACACAATCTGTCATGCCACACATACTCAACCAGTAACAGTAGCCAAAACTATGATTATTGGCTAGTATCATCAGAAACGTACAAACCTGCAAAAGCAGAACAATATTGTCCCCTTCATAAGTGCAAGCAGGAACATAGACAGCAAACAATTCAGGAAGCCCACAGCTGTTCAAGTAACCATGTCCACCACAGAGCTTTCTGCATTCTTCAATGGCATCCTGCACAAAAGACAGGAATCACCATAAGAACAATGCATTGCCAAAAGTCCTCCATTATGACTAAACGATCAGAACATGCATATGGCGATAATCAGACCAGAATTTACTCCATTAAGAAATGGAGTTGAGCTTCAGGAAAAGATTAAGGTCAACATAAAATTCGCATCTAGTGACAGTCTGGGTAAATGGCCCAAGTTTATGAACTACAAATACCTATGAAAGATGAAGTGATGAAAGCAATATTTGCCCATTTAATAGTGTGAAGACTTCTACAAACCACTTAGCCAAAGAGAGCAAATCAAAATACCCCCATCAAGTACAACCTGTAAAAATAAGAATTAATTATCGTACAGCTGTTGCAGATGTTGTCACGGCCTTCAAACCAGCGGTACAGGCATGGGTTTCTTGCAGTGTTGAGTAGTCTTTAGCTACCAATTTCTGAGTGACATCCATGTATAGCCACTTGAGCCAGTCACCCACGAATCTAAATGCATATGCTGAAGCCAGCAATGGAAAGAGTCTGCTTTGTTGAGTCTTGTAGTCAAGGACCTGTAACCGGTTTGAATATTGCGTTAGCCACCTTTTGTTTGGTAACCAAAAGATGCAGAAATTATCCATGTTAAGCACAGGCAGTAACACTGGGCAGTTGATTCAAAAAATGGTTATCGCACAGCCATTCACAAGTATATAAATAAATGACAAAAATTGTATCATGAATGCTTCACAGGCATGTTATTTTTTTATGAAGAATCCGCAGCATATACTGAACAACTACAGAGTCAACATAACTTTGGAAACCTTAAGAGGCCCTATGGATAGTTTATCCACAAAGTTGCAACATAAAAGTGAAAACCAATCAGCAACAGCTCAGCTGCTTATTGTTACGATACTGCTGGTGGTATTTGAATTAACTATGAGCATATCTATAATGATATGGTGTCAACAGTCAGCAATTTATTACTAGCAACCAGATATTGGTGTCAGATTGCTTTGATGCCTGCCTGGTGCATATATCGCATTTATTATTTATTTTCCATTTCCACTGGTCCAGTTGAGTTGAGCAGAGTAGCGTATTCGAGAACATATTGAGAGATTAATAGAGAAGATGAATAAATGGCAATACAAAAGGCTCAGTATTAGAAATTTAGAATACCTTAGTCTCAGGGCCACCATCTTGAGAGCCAAACTGCTTTGGATGGCGCTGTATCGTACAACAATGCAAACAGCACGGACAAAGCCTTAGAAGCATCTCACGACTATTGTTTGACGAACAAAAACCATTGTCCCATAAAGCAGCTGCTTTGGGACATCTGAATCAACATATTTCCCCTCCCTAGTAACTTGTGAAAGCCTAGAAAGGAAAGGAAACAAGTTTGAATATGGTTAGGCTGCAAAAAAGAAAGAACAGATAAAGTGCTGTAGTAAAGTATAATAGCCAAATGGACGAACCTCATCAACATTTGATCCCTTGGTATCTTTTTATGGTCATGGTCAATCAAGAGAACACCATTGTCCATACTGTTATATGCACCGCTACCAAATTTTCCACCAATATCACCCAGGGTAACACCAGGAAGCGGGGAGTGATCCTCTAAGCTTCGCAGTTGCACAATGAAACCTGGGACAAGGACATGTATAAGCAACAAAGGAGACTAGGAGAACACTTAAATGTCACCTAAACACAAAACACTCTTACCATGTATACCATAGTCCTTTCCTTCAGTTATCAGCCGAGCATACACCACTGCATGGGTGGAAGCTTTCCCCAAGCCACCAGGCCACCACTGCCGACATGAAGATAGATGTAACAAATTGTGGACAAGATCTTAAACAAGGCACAAATGGCTAAAGTAACATAAAAAGGGAAAGGAAAAATAATAGTTTTTTTAATAAATCAATATGGAGGCAGTTGATCCACAGGACTTTACTTTGCTGGAGGTCAGAGTTGGACTGTGGATGACAAACTCATCAGTCTTTGGATCAAATGTAGCAGTTGTTTCAAGGCCCTGAACGTTTGAGCCGTGACCAAGTTCAGTCTGAGCATAGCACCCAATTATTTGGAACTTGTAAGCCATAGGCAACCACTTCTTCTGCTGCTCCTCAGTACCTTGACCTTTTATAGCAGGAACAAACATGCCCTGCAGGATGGCATTGTTTTTGTAACTTGTAAGTGAAAAATATAGATGAAGCTTATACAAAAACTATCTGTTATTCAATGGCAGGAGTCTTTTTTTTTTTTGTTTCTTATTAAATGAAAGGCCCTGATTTTTACAGAAACCCAAGAACAATATGCTGAGCATCCAGTAGCATTAACTCCAGAAGACATCAGCACACAGCATGGACAACAAAGGATTAAATGGTGGTATGATAAGTATGTATACTGATGCAATAAAAGTTGATAGTCATACCCAATGCAGATCAACATAACCAGGCTGATCTCACGTATAGCCTCAGCATACCTGCTTCCTCCTCTGTCAATCCACAGCAATATAACACAGTAGAGCATCAGTTAAACTGTTGTATGTAGAAAATGGCTCGATAGTTCTTTGGTTGGTATTGGAATCTGCGGCGACTTGGTACCTGTAAGGCGTGGTTCGACAATACGCTTCCATGCGTGGGCTGCCTTTCTTAGAGTGTCCTTAAACAAGTCCTTCCTGGAGAGCATGGTCCTGTTATCCTTGCGGAAGACCTATGTATTAAGCAGGTGGAATTGTAAGTGGACTTCTCCGAAAGGGAATTTAACTACTGTAACCTGATGCAATATCTTTGTCTTGATAACCAAAGGTTGGGTGTTTATTTGGTCCAGTGTTAGCATTTACATTAAAAACAACCTTTAGGAACTAGGAACAAAGGGAAACAGAAAGAATGACGGTTACAATCTTACTGTTGCTTTTTTTTTTAACAGAAAACAACAATATTACAATTTCTCACAAGGATAAGACTTAGAGTATCCAGTTCAAAACCGGAAAGCAATCATGTACTATGTATGCTAGAATAAGTCAACACGTAGTTACTGTTTATATAAGACAAAAGTTTATCGGTTTGAGTCAGCATTGTGAGGTTATAGGGAAACATTGAGAAAATTGGTAGTCAGCAGTGGAGCTAAGAATATTCTAAATCCGAATAATTTAAGGAAAGGTGGAGAGGTGAAACGGTCAAAGCTGAATTGAGCTGGTAAACCATGGTTTGCGAAATCCGTTGACTTGCTAGTTTTTCTGCCTTGCATAGAGAGACTACAGGAAATCAGATGCGAAAGGTGTTGCTGCTTTATATGAAGAGAAGAAAAGGAGATTGGGATTAATCCGGGGGGAGCGGAAAAGGCAAAGCATGGATTATGTGGAAGTCAACTAGCGAATGAAGCTGAGAAGTTGGGGAAGGGCAGGTGAACAGCTAGACAGATGCAGCAAGCAAGCCATGGGAAGGGGAGGGGAGGGGAGGCGCATCTGATTCTGATCTATGCGAAGGAGGTGGAATTGGGGATCGGGGGAGGAGAAGGGGATCAAGGAAGCAATCACTTACAGGGTCGGACGCGACGAGTCGGGCCATGCGGTCGCCGACTTCGACGGCGTGTCGCGAGCCAGCCCACGCAACCTTCATCTCCTCGACGTCGAAGAGCGCGGCGTCCCTCTCGGCCGCGAGGTGGTCGACCTCCGCCGCTGCGTCCATGGCGATCTCTGTCGAGGTCAAGACCCAAAGCTGAAGCTCTGCGATGCCTGGCGGGGAAAGACCTCAGACGGCCAGGCCTGCTCCAACTCCTCAACTACTCGTCCTCGTCGCCTCGCTCGATTTGGCTGCTTGATGGTAGGTGGGCGAGAAGCGCGATGTGGAAGACGGAGACTACGACTACTGCTGCTCAGGTTATCTGAAAACACCCATATCAATCAAGGTCGGCCATGTGGGGGTTGGTTTTCAGTTTTCACACATTTTTTCGTTCGTTTTCTTTTTTCTGATGAATATAATAAATCAAAATGATGCCGTGTGCGTCTGCCTGTCTCAGGTTTGGTAGTTGGCCGATTTCCTCACCTTCCCTGCCGGTATTTTATTTTCCAAAATTTTCGCCTTTTTACACGCGTGCATTTGACCCATGTGCACAATGGTCCCTATAATAACAGTTGCATGCATAATTACCAACTTGTGCAAGTAGTCGGTAGTATTTTTTTTTACCAATTTAAAAGTTTTTAAAAAATACCAATGAAAATATATAATGTGTTGATATAGTACTTTCTAAAGTCATATATGGTTGTCAACATTGCAACATTCTAAGTTTTAATTATAACTTTTCGGTGTTTTAGAATATGAATATTTGAAAACAAAAATAAATAGATTAAGTATCGAAGAGCATGTTTTTTTTTTCTCAACCGTGCCTAAAATGTTTTTCATTAGGAGAAAAGAAGAGTTACAACAAATAAAGGCTTACTAAAACCAACACGATCCTTGTGAAACTAGTCTCATAGGGATCAAACAGAATTCATAATTAAGTGATTACATATGAACAATTCGTGATCAAGCTACTATTAACTCTAAAAGAAGCAGCGAACGTAGTGGGCACAGCTAGCCACTAAAGACGACACCTCTAGGCAACAGAGACCTCTATGTAGCTCCCCAATTGGAACGAGCATTTCATTGATGTCCGAAGGTGATGGAGCACCAAAGCATCTTATAGTTGAAGCAGCAACATGGGGCAGGCAATCAGAAGGACCTTTAGAGGCAAGGCATAGAGCAATAACCTCAAAAGCCTTGGCCGCCATCTCATGGTTGGGCAACAACGACATTAGATCATCAAAAGACTAAAGCTTTGTCGGGGGGACCTAATTCAGGGGTACCCAATGAGGTGGAATTAATAACCATCGAACGTTGATGCTTCCGGTCAGACAAGAACGCTACTACACTTCTTGCCCGAACAACGGAAGATTGGTTCCGCCTCGCCCGACCCCCGAGGGCTAAGACTCCGCCTCGCCCGACGTCTGAGGGCTGGCTCCGCCTCGCCCGACGTCTAAGGGCGGGCTCCGCTTCACTCGACGACTGAGGGCAGGCTTCGTCTCGCCCAACACCTATGGGCTGGCTCCGCTTCGCCCGATGTCTGAGGGCAGGCTCCACCTCGCCCGACAGCTAAGGGCAGGCTTCGTCTCGCCCAAACGCCTGAGGGCTGGCTCCGCCTCGCCCGGCGGCTACACCTTGTTTCTTCATAAATACGAGCACAGGGTACGACAAGACATTTGAGTCAACCGTAGTATTGAGGACCATGCCATGCATGCCTGCAGGAAGGTACTGTCAGGATACGACATGACGGGCGCTTTTCGGCCCTTTCCGACCTGACAGAACCCGAATAGTATTGTAGGCACCGATTTTTATCCCACAGTGTTGTAGGCACCGCCATTAGCCCTCAGACGTGGATACTAACACGAGCACATGACAACCACTATGATCCAAGATAGAACTCACATCATCTACAGTGATGGACGTATGGTCATTTCCCCGTCTACTCTTCGAAGGGTCACGGCTCGCCTCTCTGGCACGCCGCACCGTCCGCTGGTGTAGGATGAGACGCGCCCACTTGCTGTAAGAGGCCAGGACATGGCCATATAAGGATCAACGAACACGCCATTCCTAACATGGTCTGCCATGTTAGCAGGGCAGGCATAGGGGAAAAGAAAGACCCGGTTCCCTCGAAGGACCTTCTCTACCTTTGGTTTTTTCCTCTTTCTCCCGTCTGTAACCCCTGTTCCCCCCTTGGTCTATAAAAGGGAGGGTAGGACACCCCACTAAGGGTGACGGATCAATTTTCAGACAGAAGACGATGGATCAATCCCACAACACACAGTCAAGCAGCAACTGAGCTCTTGGCGTCCTTTCGACCTTTTCACCAGAGACTTGGGACCAGTCCCTCTCTCGACCGTTTGTACCCCCTACTACGAACCTTTTTTGGTACTAATAATATGAGCAGCAGCAGACTGGACGTAGGGACGTTCTACCCGAACCAGTATAAACCTCGTGTCCTTTAGTACACCATCCGAGCCTAACGCGCAACAAATATAAATTTACTAGTTGGTGTTTGTTTAAAACATTGATAGTTGGCGCGCTAGGTAGGGGCCTTTGCGCGTCCCAAATCAGGCCTCGGATGGCTAACCACAATCAGCTGGGTCCTGGGCGCACACGTGCGTTTCGGTAACCTGGACTTCATCACCATGGTTGGAGGAGAGTTGGCGTTGGCCCATGTCGCCATCCAATCTCTCCCCTCCATCGGCTCCAACTACGGGAGGCTTGAGCGCTAGCCCGGCATCTCCCTTGGACCCCAGCCGTCTAGGGAGGACCCGCGCTGCCTCACCCTCTCTCCAGAACACTCCGCACGGAGCGCCCCGATGGCGCTTCCGTTCAGTCTCTGCAACGCCGCGGCGACCGTTAGCCACCTTGTGGCACAGCGCATGATCCTGTTCCCCGCGAACAACGAGTTCGTGGGGATAATCGAAAGCATCATGGAATCCCTCAACGGCCTCCTCGTGGAAGGTTCGGGGTCGGACTCTAGCTCTGACTCTAGCAGGGGGAGCTATCACCCCTCCCAGGAATGTTTCATGGCGGAAACCCCCGAGGGACACGTCGAAAGCGTCTCCGCAGAGGAGACTACCCCGGCAGGCAACCTCGGCGGCAGAACTAAAGGGGGGATAGCGGCCCCACCTCACGTAGGGGTGGAGCAGCTGAGAGCCCAAAAGCGGGAAATAGACGAAGCCGGACAACAACTTGTTCGGGAGTACGTGGAGGTCGATCAGGAGATCAAATGCCTTGGAGATGGGGGGCGCGCACGCGCTATGGCCCGTGACGTGAACCGAAGGATCATCGCCGACGGTGAAACCCTTCCTCACTTCGTTCGGGCAAGCTAGAACATCGCCGCCGTAACGGCCTTGCTCCATGGCCTTCTGGAGGCCGCAATGCCCGAGGATCGTCGGGTCCACCGCGAAAATCACACATTGCTTGAGCGTGCGGTGGCGCAGCAGGTAGAGAGCTCGTTGTCTCGGTGACACGAGCTCGACACCAACCAACGCACGCCCTCGGTGCGCCTTGCCAGGGACACATCAGTCCACCAGGCACCGCAAGGTAGTAGGCAGCACGTTGTGGCCCAGATACATCAGCGTCTCGGCCATAACCGCGACGCGCGCAGCACCCTCGACGCCCGCAGATGTACCTACAGCGACCCAAGAGAAGGAGCCCGCCGTGGCTATCATCCTCGTCGCGGCGGACACTACGATAGCGGCGAGGACCGAAGCCCGAGCCCCGACCTACTAGGCCCTTAGGCCTTCGGCCGACACATCCTCAATGCTGCATTCCCGCCAAGGTATCGACCACCTACCAATATCCCTAAGTACTCCGAGGAGACAAACCCCGGACTTTGGCTTGAAGACTATCAACTTGCATGTCAAGCCGGTGGTGCAGATAATGATGATTTCATTATCCGCAACCTCCCACTATTCTTGGCCAATTTGGCGCGAGCATGGTTGGAGCACCTGCCGTCCAACACGATCCAGAGCTGGGCAGATTTGAAGGAGATCTTTGTGGGAAACTTCCAGAGCACATATAAGTGCCTTGGGAACCTATGGGACCTCAAGAACTGCCGTTATAAGGCTAGTGAGATCCTCTGTGGGTACATCCGGCGCTTCTCTCGACAGTGCAATGAGCTCCCTAATGCCGCCGACGCCGATGTGATAGGAGCCTTCCTATCCGGGACGACCTGTGAGTCCTTGGTTCATAAGCTGGGACGCAAGGGCCCACGAACCACCAAGGAACTCCTAGCCATCGCCACTAGTCACACCTCAGGAGAAGAGGCGGTTGAAGCGATCTTTGATTGCCTCGATGGCAAGGCAAGGCGGGATGAGGGTGCCGGCGAAGGCACCTCTAATCGTTCTACTAAAAGGAAGAACAAGAAGCAACGGCGCGAGGACTCGCTTGTGGCTGCGGTAGACGGCAAGGGTGGTCGAAAGCCTGCGGAGGGCACTCCAAACCACTTTGAAAAATTACTCGAGAGGCCGTGCCCAAACCACGCCTTTCCTATAAAGCATCTGCTCAAGGACTGCAGCCTCATACGGAAGTTCTTGTCTGGAAGCTCCAACAAAGGGGGGCAGGGGAAGGACCCTCCCCCCACTGCAGATGACACTGAGGAGAAGGACGACGGCTTCCCAACGCCGAATGGCTGCCTTATGATCTTCGGAGGATCGGCGGCCTATGTCTCCAAACGCCGTCAGAAGGTCACGCGCCGTGAAGTCTACATGGCCCAACCGGCCACACCTCCCTTCCTCTGGTGGTCGAAGTCCGCCATAACCTTCGATCGGACTGACCATCCGGATACTGTCTCCGTACCTGGGGAGATATCCACTTGTAGTCGACCCGATCATCGGCCCGAAGTGACTCACCAAAGTACTAATGGACGAAGGCAGCAGCCTCAACATCATGTACGCCAAGACGCTCGACGAGATGGGGGTCGACCGGACAAACCTCCGCCCAACCCAAGCACCTTTTCACAGCATCATGCCCGGGAAACAGGCCATGCCACTAGGGCAGATCGATCTGTCCATCACCTTTAGGGATCAGTTCAATTATAGGATTAAGACCCTCACCTTCGAGGTGGTTGGGTTCCTCAGAACTTTCCACACCATCCTGGGACGGCCATGCTACGCGAC